AAGATGTGCTCCCTTTACACAGAGTGCGCGTGATCGCGAAATCAAAAGTGAACAGAGAGCGCTAATTCAAATGCGATTTCAGTACCTCGCATATTGATAGCGGCTCCCTGATGTGCGAAAATTATGGAGTTAAAGAAAAAAAAAATCTTTTGACAGAATTTTTCCTCGGCCAAACCCTATTCCACAGTCATACCTGTCACACACCCAGTTTAAGAGCAGTGTTTTTCTTCTTGTAAATAGGAGCACTTGTCCTCCTAATTAAAAAAATTTAGGAGCACCTTCTAATCAATAATAAAAAATTCTGATCAATAATTAGCCTTCCTAATACGAGCTGACAAGTGATTTCAGGGGCATTTTCTTTTTACCTTTGTAAATGCATTTTTCTAATTTTATTAAATGTATGCTGTGTTTCCTAGGATTTTTTCTAGCTGTGGTGGCAGGACTATTTCCCATAGACCACGCCCCCTCCCCACCAAAGAATCATGTGCACTCAAAATTGAATTTATTTTAACTAAAAAAGACAAGTAAATAGTAAATAATGTAATCAAACATTCTGATCAAAAATTAGCCTTCCTAATACGAGGTGATATTTGACTCCTTAAAGTGATTTACAGGGGCGTTTTTTTACCTTTGTAATGGCAAATTCAAAAATGTATGTTTATAAGCTTTTTAAAAGTTCTATTTAAAAAAATATAATAAGAAGCAGAATAAGACAAATAAGTTAGCAATCATATGAAATTAGTATTAATAAAGGTGGCATGAGTGCAATTATTCATGAATTCATAAATTCATGTTGAGATTAATGTTTTACATATAAAATTTGGAATACAGAAATATTAAATGATTTAAATAACTGAAATTATATCTAAAAATAAAACTGAAACCGCCAGCAGGTGGCAGCAAGTCACTGATTTTTATCACTGAATCATTCATTCAATTGATTCGTTTGAACAGCTGATTCATTCAGAAATGAAACAAGTGTTTATGAATGGGTATTCATGAATCACTGACTCACTAAATTCGTTCAAAAACACACTTTCATTGAATGAATTAAACACCCCTGTGTTTGCTTTTAGAGATGCGCAACGGCTGAGCTGTTGCTTTATTTGGAACTATTTTCGTTGATGAAATAGAGCAAAATCAGGCAGTACTTGTTTATTGAACTGTTGTATTAAACCAATATCACATTGGCAAACTCCTTTAATAATTATTAAAAACTGTCACTCTCCTTATCGCGATCTGTAGGCGCACAGAAAATGAGAGCGCGCAAGTGAGTTCTCAAGACTCGAAAGCACATGCAAATGATACGTTCCGTCATCTGTCATCGTGTTATAAGAGCGGAACCTGCGGGAATTAGTAGAATTGTTATTAATAGCCTCAATCCCGCGCCGAAATTCAAGTCCTGCTATGTGTTCTCTGCTAATAACCCGACTGTGAATTATGCGAGCGGCGTTATGTTGTCAGTGAGAAGCTGCAGCCGTGGCGGGGGTGATTTCTGGTACAACAACAACAATGCGCTACGTGTTTCTTCTCCCCTCATTTTTTCCAATTGACGGAAATCCGTCGTAGCGACGGAAAACTTGAATCCCTGTATATACAATATTAGAATGTTTGTTCATGAATGAAACACCGCTGTGTTTGCTTTTAGAGATGCGCAGCGGCTGAGCTGTTACTTTATTTGGAACTATTTTCGTTGATGAAATAGAGCAAAATCAGGCAGTACTTGTTTATTGAACTGTTGTATTTAACCAATATCACATTGGCAAACTCCTTTAATAATTATTAAAAACTGTCACTCTCCTTATCGCGATCTGTAGGCGCACAGAAAATGAGAGCGCGCAAGTGAGTTCTCAAGACTCGAAAGCACATGCAAATGATACGTTCCGTCATCTGTCATCGTGTTATAAGAGCGGAACCTGCGGGAATTAGTAGAATTGTTATTAATAGCCTCAATCCCGCGCCGAAATTCAAGTCCTGCTCTGTGTTCTCTGCTAATAACCCGACTGTGAATGATGCGAGCGGCGTTATGTTGTCAGTGAGAAGCTGGCTGCAGCCGGGGGATGATTTCTGGTACAACAACAACAATGCGCTACGTGTTTCTTCTCCCCTCATTTTTTCCAATTGACGGAAATCCGTCGTAGCGACGGAAAACTTGAATCCCTGTATATACAATATTAGAATGTTTGCTGGAGCGGCACACACACGTTGCGGGAGCGGGCGGTAATGGTCAGAAATTCAGCGAGAGCGGGCTTAAGAAAACTGTCCCGCTCAGGACTCTAGGCTGCGCATCAACACACACTCTAAGTTTTTTTCCGCGCTACCCCGTCTCCACCCCAATCATTAGTGCCGTTTCGTTCTTTGACAGAACATATAGGACAATTTTTTAAATAGCGCCATAAACAAAATGTATTTCAAATTTAATTCAAGCACTTTCAAGGACCTATGTTTGTTTTCAAGTACTTTCCAGGCCTTGAATCCATATGTCTGAAATTCAAGTACTTTCAAGTACTTTCAAGAAGCGTGGGAACCCTGTATCTAGTATAAAACATAGCTGTTTTACCCCACATATGCATGACAGGAAGAAGCAGAAGCGGTCGACTGTGGCATAATAAAAGCTCTGCTGCTATCGAGTCGTGTATCGCGTTCGTCCTTCATTAGCAATCACTCCAGCGGCCTTATTTCGCTTCCACGACTTTTAGCCCCACCCTGCTTCATTCTACAGTGACCTTAATAAGTCTTCAATACATTAGCTCATCCATGAACATGATTTCTGCCCGAGTCCCATTGGATTGCATCGGCTGTGGGGATGAAGACGACAACTCCCATGATTCCACACTCAGTCACGGCGTCATCAACTACGCCTTTGTTTCTTGTTTGTTTTGAATATGTGCACTCTAGCGACGAAAACTTACATATTGTGCCTTTAAGACTAACAATGTGCGCTAACAAAATACATATTGTAAATTTTGATTTCATGAGGATTTAATGAACAAACTTACAGCAGTTCATTTCATCGCTGGCGTCCTCACAGTCCAGCACCTGGTTACAGCGACTGGAGTTTGACACACATGATTTGTCTCTGCACTGAAACTGATCCGCCGTGCACAGGGTTGCTGGAACACATACAGTACAAAAAATGCATAAACTCACAAAATCATGTGCTAAAGAAATAAATACTACTATTATTACTACTAATAATAATAACAATAAATAAGAAAACATTTTTAGGACCACAACAATGGTCCTAACAATTGTTTTTTTTGATAGTTCTCATTGTTCTCAATAGTGACTTCATTCTATTCTCCAAATGATTACTGAACATTTACAATGTTTTTTTATTTTTATTAATTACTTAATTAGTTCATTCATTAATTTTTAAATCAATTAAATAATTCATTAATTCATAAATTTTTCTTTCTTTCTTTCAACCTAAAAATGACAAATACTGTATGTTTCTCATAAATTCAGCTGCTGCAAAACATTTCATCTGCATCAGATTAGTCAAACAATATTCTATAGCCATGCAGACATACCAGCCACTTGACAATGAAACCGACCAAATGTTCAGAATCAATTTAGCTTTGATTTTGGGGGAAAATATAATGGTTCACCCATAAAGTATTGACTTGTCATGTTTCATTTTACGTTTTTAGCAGGCTTAACATCAACATCAGTTGAACCAAAGCGCTTTCGAATTCAAAAGGCAAAAACACCAGCACCCGCTGTAACAGAGCAGGAAGGGGAAAACATCTTGGGTTACGAATGTAACCCTTGTTCCCCGAGAAAGGGAACGAGACACTGCGTCGGTAACGACACTTTGGGGAACCCCCTCAGCGTAGCGCGTCTGAAGCATGAATGAAACTATTCCAATCCTGATTCCAATCCCATAGTCGGAAGCTACAAAGGGACGCTGGCACACAACAGAGTCAGCTTTTGCGATGAAGCAAGCCGCTCCCAGGCATGGAGAGGTGTGGCAAAGAGGCGCAGTGTCTCATTCCCTTTCTCAGGGAACAAGGGTTACAGTCGTAACCCGAGACGTTCCCCCTCGAGGGAACTCACTCTGCATCGGTAACGACACTTTGGGGAACAGATACCCACTATGCCACACCAAAACATGCCTGTCCTAGTGTGAAGCTGAACCAGGCACAACTTAGGACGAGAGCACTCGTGCACCCAGAGTGGAGGGAAGGTTCAGACTATAAAACCTGATGAAAGTATCCAGGGTGGACCACCCAGCCGCATCGCAGATCTCCTGAAATGGGACTCCTGACAGGAGGGCCCTAGAGGACGCCATGCCTCTAGTAGAGTGGGCCCTCAAGGCCACAGGTGAAGGCAAACCGCGCACCTGATAGGCCAAGGCAATAGCCTGAACAATCCAATTACTAATTGTCTGCTTGGAAGCAGGAAGTCCCTTCTTGGGTGATCCAAAGCACACCAACAACTGTTCTGACCTCCTCCAATGAGAGGACTTCTGAATAAAGATGTTCAATGCTCTGACAGGGCAGAGCAGATGAAGCCTCTCTGCTTCCGTCGACACATGAGGCGGAGGATGGAAGGCCTGAAGAACCACGGGCCATGCCATATTAGATGGCACCTTGGGCACATAGCCTGGCCTAGGGTGTAAAATGGCCTTAACTCCTCCAGGGGCAAATTCCAGGCAAGTCGGCGAGATAGCCAAAGCCTGGAGATCCCCCACTCTCTTGAGCGAAGTAATTGCTAGGAGAAAGACCATCTTAAAGGTCAGGTTCTTTGCCGTAGCCGACTCAAGAGGCTCGAAGGGGGCAAGTGACAGCCCTTCAAGAACCACAGCCAGATCCCAAGTTGGGACTCTGGAACGAGTCGCTGGCCTCATCCTCCATGCACCACGGAGGAAACGCACGACCAGCTGGTGCCTCCCCAGAGGCCCAACACCTAAAGGAGCATGGAAAGCTGCAATGGCAGCCACGTACACCTTTAGTGTGGACGGGGTAAGACCAGCAGAGAAGCGATCTTGGAGGAACTCCAGCACTGAAGCCACCGGGCAGTTAACTGGGTCCAACCCACGCTCTCTACACCATGTGGAAAACACATTCCACTTTAGGCCGAACAATCTCCTCGTGGTGGGAGCCCTGGAACTGAGTATGGTCTCGATCAGTCCAGCCGACAAGCCAGCCTCTAGGTACTGAGCCCCCTCAGGGGCCAGACCCACAGTTTCCACAGCTCTGGCCGAGGGTGAAATATCTCGCCCCCTGCCTGAGACAGCAGGTCCCTCCTCAGAGGGATCTGCCACGGCTGGCCTGCCAGGAGTGACATGATATCTGAGAACCACACCCGGGCCGGCCAGAACGGGGCTACCAGCAATAGACTGACCCCTTCTTTCCGGACCCTCTCCAGAACTCCCGTGAGCAGAGCGATCGGGGGAAAAGCATACAGGCATAGTCTCGGCCACGTCTGTACCATGGCGGCCAACCCCAGCGGGGCTGGATGCGTGAGAGAAAACCACAGTGGACAGTGGGTCGTCTCTCGAGACGCGAACAAATCCACTTCCACTGGGCCGAACCTCTCGCATATCGACTTCACCACCTCTGGGTGAAGTCTCCATTCCCCGGGCCTCAACCCCTGCCTCAACAGGACGTCTGCTCCCTGATTCTGGTCCCCAGGGATATACATCGCTCTGAGAGACGACAGTTTCCCCTTGGACCACAGGAGGATCTGATGCGCCAGTCTGCACAGAGGGCGCGACCTCAGACCCCCCTGATGATTCAAATACGAGACAGAAAGACCATCTTAAAGGTCAGGTTCTTTGCCGTAGCTGACTCGAGAGGCTCGAAGGGGGCAAGTGACAGCCCTTCAAGGACCACAGCCAGATCCCAAGTTGGGACTCTGGAACGAGTCGCAGGCCTCATCCTCCATGCACCACGGAGGAAACGCACGACCAGCTGGTGCCTCCCCAGAGGCCCAGCACCTAAAGGAGCGTGGAAAGCCGCAATGGCAGCCACGTACACCTTTAGTGTGGACGGGGTAAGACCAGCAGAGAAGCGATCTTGGAGGAACTCCAGCATTGGGCAGTTAACTGGGTCCAACCCACGCTCTCTACACCATGTGGAAAACACATTCCACTTTAGGCCGAACAATCTCCTCGTGGTGGGAGCCCTGGAACTGAGTATGGTCTCGATCAGTCCAGCCGACAAGCCAGCCTCTAGGTACTGAGCCCCCTCAGGGGCCAGACCCACAGTTTCCACAGCTCTGGCCGAGGGTGAAATATCTCGCCCCCTGCCTGAGACAGCAGGTCCCTCCTCAGAGGGATCTGCCACAGCTGGCCTGCCAGGAGTGGCATGATATCTGAGAACCACACCCGGGCCGGCCAGAACGGGGCTACCAGCAATAGACTCACCCCTTCTTTCCGGACCCTCTCCAGAACTCCCGGGAGCAGAGCGATCTGGGGAAAAGTGTACAGGCGTAGCCTCGGCCATGTCTGTACCATGGCGTCCAACCCCAGCGGGGCTGGATGTGTTAGAGAAAACCACAGTGGACAGTGGGTCGTCTCTCAAGACGTGAACAAGTCCACTTCCACTGGGCCGAACCTCTCACATATCGACTTCACCACCTCGGGGTGAAGTCTCCATTCCCCGGGCCTCAACCCCTGCCTCGACAGGACGTCTGCTCCCTGATTCTGGTCCCCAGGGACATACATCGCTCTGAGAGATGACAGTTTCTCCTTGGACCACAGGAGGATCTGATGCGTCAGTCTGCACAGAGGGCGCGACCTCAGACCCCCCTGATGATTAAAATATGAGACCACTGACATATTGTCTGCTCGTATTAGGACATGGTGACCGCTGAGATCTGGGAGAAGTGCCCACATCGTTGCCGAGTCCCATACCACCCCCAGGAACGTGGTTCTCTTTGTGGGCGACAACACGCTCTTTTTCGTGTTGAGTCTCAACCCCAAGCTCTGAATGTGTCCAAGGACGACATCTCGATGCCGAACAGCCATCTCTCGAGACTGGGCCAGTGTAAGCCAGTCGTCGATATAATTCAGCACATGGATGCCCTGAAGCCTCAGTGGCGCTAGAGCTGCATCCATGCACTTGGTGAAAGTGCGAGGGGAGAGAGCTAGGCCAAACGGAAGAACCCGATATTGGAACGCTTTGCCCCCGAAAGCGAACCTCAGGAACTTCCTGTGAGAAGGAATGATAGAAACATGGAAGTATGCGTCCTTTAGATATATCGTGACCAACCAGGTCCTCCGATCTGATCTGACTCACGATGGTGGGAATAGTGAGCATCTTGAACCTGAATCTCCTCAGAGAACGATGACTCACGATGGTGGGAATATTGAGCATCTTGAACCTGAATCTCCTCAGAGAACGATTCAAGTGCCGCAGATCTAAAATTGGACGCAACCCCCCATCCTTCTTGGGAACTATGAAATACCGGCTGTAGAACCAGGACTCCCTGTCTGGTGGAGGAACACTTTCTATGGCCTCCTTCACCAACAGGGAGTGAACTTCCTGTTCCATCACCCGACCCTGCTCGGGGTGCACCACAGTCTAGACCACCCCATTGAACTTCGGGGGGCGGTAAACGAACTGCAGCCTGTACCCTCTTTCTACTGTACGGACCCATGGAGATATATCCGGAAGGCATTGCCATGCACTGATATAATCTACTAAGGGAATCAGCCTCTCGAGGCTGACCTCGGGTGTTCTTCGAGTTTCGTTTACGATCCCCTGAAGCGGAACACCGGCAGGAAAAGATCGAAAACGATTTTCTATGTGTGGATGCTGTCGCTGCCAGGCCGCAAGCCCTCGGGGCGGACACTGCAGCAAGCGTTCGCCGGAAATCGATGTAGCCCGAAGCGTACTGAACGGAGGGATTCCAACATCGATTTCCTGAGGATTCCGAGGTGGAAACGACCTTGATCGCTCCAGCCCGGGGGGGCAACCCTCAGAAGCCCTGCAAAAGCTAGGACCTTTTTCCCGTAACCTTTCTTGCCTGAAGGACGGTCCTCAAATCGACCTTTGGCTCAGCGGGCTTCGGGCGAGAGCGTCGCCTCTGTTGCCAAGGGCTCTAGAAGCGACACTCTCCTTTTGTACCTGCCGGTACGAGGAGCTTGATGACGGCTGGGGCCATCCACTCGGAGCAGCCTTCTTAGATTTAGAGCGGCGAGGGAGATACTGCTTAAAAGCCGCAGACTGCTTTTTAACCTCCTGAAACCTGTCGACAACCATATTGACTGCGTTGCCGAACAGGCCAGAAGGCAATATCGGGGCATTTAGGAGAAAGGCCCTGTCCTTTTCCTTCATCCCCGATAAGTTTAGCCACTTACCAGTCTCTCCGCGGCCACCATCGCTGCAATGGAGCGGCCGATGGCACGGGCCGTCTCCTTGGTAACACGGAGAGACAAATCTGCGGCTCTATGCAGCTCCGCTAAATCACCCTGTGTTGGTCCCTCACCCTCATCTAAATCCTTTAAAAAATCAGCCTGGTATGCCTGCATAAGCACCATTGTATGCAGGCATGCACCAGCACGACCTGCCGCGATATAAGCCCTGCCCACCAAAGGTGATGTAATACGACAAGGTTTGGTGTGCAGCACTGGGGCTTTAAGGGACGACGCAACATCAGGGGAGAGGTAGCTGGCTAAAGCCTCTTCCACCCGAGGCATCGTCCCATAACCGTACTCAAGGGCTCCTAAAATGTTACTATAATCTAACACAGGAGGGTTAGACAGTCGTGCAGAGTACGGTTTATTCCATGACTTACACAACTCATTGTGTAAGTCAGGAAAAAACGGTAAACCCACGCTCCTAAGATGTTACTAAAATCTAACACAGGAGGGTTAGACAGTCGTGCGGAGTACGGTTTATTCCATGACTTACACAACTCATTGTGTAAGTCAGGAAAAAACGGTAAACCCCGGCATTGAGGCTGAGACCTGTGCTGCACTTGCACTTCCTGCCTTTCTTGAGGCCAGTTAATATTAAGTTTGGCCACAGCACGAGTCAACACTCAACCAGCTCCTCATGTGCGTGTGAATGCAGTGGCGAGCTCTCTGCAATTTCACCCGCCTCGATGCTGAGCACGTCTAATTCCTCAGAATCAGACAGCTCAAACATCGAGTTCTCCTCCCGTGTGGAAGAAGCCACGGCGCGGGCTTCCACACGGGGAGTGAGAACATCGGAAGTGTCAGACGAGGACAGAATGTGCCGCAGCAGTCTCGAGCCTTCCTGACAAATCCATCTGCGAGCCCCACGATCTAAGCCGCCGAGTCGCCGACCCAAACCACGAGGTGCGCGAGCCTAGCCGGCCTCATCAAATACAGCCAGGCGGGAGCGCAGCCCTCTGATCGGCAGTGCTTCACAGTCCGCACAGGCAGCTCCCTCGAGAGCTGCCCGTGCGTGCTGCGCTCCTAAACAATAAACACACAGCTGATGTGTGTCCCCACCCGTTAAAAACCTCGGGCAGGGATGAACACACCGCTTAAATTGTCCACTCGCCATGATAATCTATATGCTTGTGACAAACAACACCAAATAAGACACACAATGACACAGAGCGCTTGCTGAAGAGCAAAAAGCTGACTCTGTTGTGTGCCGGCGTCCCTTTGTAGCTTCCGACTATGCCGTCACATGTTACGACATGATGCAACACCAATCAGGATTGGAATAGTTTCATTCATGCTTCAGACGTGCTACGCTGAGGGGGTTCCCCAAAGTGTCGTTACCGACGCAGTGTGAGTTCCCTCGAGGGGGAACCAAACTGTACAACATCAGAACGTTTGAAATCTATAGAATTCAAAGGGGCCTACAGGCTGGATTTGAAGATTAGGCTGCAGCCTAATATAATGTGTATGAACAGATGGACTTACCATTACAGAAGAGTTCATCGGAGTTATCCCCACAATCATCTCGCCCGTTACACCAGGAACTGTGGCCGATACAGCGTCCGTTCACACAGCGCTTATAGCCCTTCTTACACACGCGGTTAGCTGGACACAAACACAGACCGATAAGAGTGGCAGGCCTTCAGAACCGCCGTGAACATTCAGAATATCTTACACACACTCACTGCAGTAGGACTGCTTCTCGTCTGACTTGTCTTTGCAGTGGGCCATGCCATCACAGGTGAGCGTGTATTTGATGCAGTCTCCATTCCCACACTCAAAGTCATCCATACTGCTGCACGACGTGTTCTGAGCTGAGAGACACAAGATAGCAGCTATTAACATACTGTAGTGCAAGCCACTATATATTCCTGCTTGTAGCATGTTGATCACAACCTCCTCATGTACAGCCATGTAGTGATATTTTGTCCAAAGACAGTGTTTACCCTGGTCCACTGATATATTGTTTTAGATTAGTAGCAGCTTTAGGATATCAACACAATTAAATGCAGAGATTTTATTTGAGATATTTTTCAATATCTCAAATAAAGATATTTAGAAAATTTAGAATAAAAATCCCTTAATTCGCAAAAAAAGTTTTTACGCTCGCTTGAGGTGGTTTTTGACTTGTGCGAAAAAGGGCTGATGCGAATAATGGGAGATGGAAATGCATTTTGCGAATAAATTCCTCCAAGCGCATCAAAAAAGTCATGTGACTTTGCGCTATGGGACGGCAAATCCCGACTAACCAGCGGACAGAACTCATTCCACAGCATCTGAAATGTTGTTATGGTCATTCGGAAATGCAAGAGCAAAGTCTTTCATCAAAGTATTTCTGTATAATTGCCTCCCAGAAATGTCTTACACGACTGCGTTCCCAAACAGCAGCATCCACCTCCGAAAGCAGTGACTGCATTCATTTGTGTTTCGTCTGCTCGCTCTGAGGCGCAAGTCATTTATTATTATATATGAAAATTATTATATTTTCCTACTTTTCTTAGTGATTTATAGTGCCAGTTTATCAGGAAGTGACGATTTTGTTCTCTTTGAGCTGTTGGATGGAAACGATGCTTGTTCACAAATGTTTTATGCGATATTCCAGTTTTGCGCACAAGTTAAATTCGCAACTTTGGATGGAAACCCGGCTAGTGATGTAATTTACTCGCTATTGTCACTGTGCTTTTGAGCAGGAACATTCAAACCTGCCTCTGTTTAAAGCTGCTTTGAGACTCTGTTCATCTCCATACGATCAGTTAACTGTGAACACTGTATTTAACGAAAATACTTGCATATGTAGATATATATTGTATGAAGTCTGTGATTGGTTGGTGGTGTCTCACCTATGCAGGTGTTGTCCTCCAGCAGTTTCCTCTCTCCGCGGCAGCTACAGTTGACCCGTCCGTCTGATGTGAGCAGACACAGATCCTGACAACCTCCATTATTCACCCGACAGGGCGAGAACTCACCTGCGCGCACACACACACACACACACACACACAGGAATTTAGCATCCCCGGAAGCTCTTGACATTGAGAAGTCACAAGGAGCATTATGTGTACTCGTTATGCAGCCCTTCATGAAACACAAACAGATACAAATAACCCACTTAACATTCACTACCCACTTGCACACATATTTACAGACAATTATTTCCAATTCACAGCACACAGATGTAAACACTCAAACAGTAGTTCTCACAGTGGTGTGCAGATGAAAGTTACTACATAGCCAAGCTGCAGAAGTCTATCTATAAGGTCAAAAAAAAGGTCTTGTCACATTTCACCAAAAATATATGTATTATTACATTTAGCTGTAATTCATTTTATTTAAATCATCATAAATGACAGAGCAATTGTACCATGTATTTAATTCATTTTAAAATGTATATAAGTGTTCTATTTTTTATGAATTACAGTAAATAGATTGTGAACTGGGGAGCTTAATTCAGGGCTCTACGTTAAAATCATTTAGTTATTAAACACATAATTAGATAGATAGATAGATAGATAGATAGACAGATAGATAGATAGATAGATAGATAGATAGATAGATAGATAGATAGATAGATAGATGGTCAACACAGGAAGTCATAGATAGATAGATAGATAGATAGATAGATAGATAGATAGATGGTCAACACAGGAAGTCAAATTTTTATTTCAAAAGATTGAGACAAATCCAGTTTTCCAGGATATGATCATTTGAGGATAAAAGGTTTTACTTTTACTTCAGATTTCCAAGTAAAACAGGGTATTTAATTGTAAAAAAAAAAAAGTTTAGTTTCTTCAAATCTAGCTGCTATTGGCTATTTGTTGGGTTTTGTTTGGGTTAATGTTTTAGTTGGGAGGACAGTAATCGGGGGCTTCAGAGCAGGCAGAGATGCTGTCTTTGGGGGTTTGAGTGCTTGAGAATTGCTTCTATCACACTTAGATAAGCATGATGAAAGATATTGATTGTGCCATTCCCAAGCGTTATAGAGTTCTTCTCGGTTCTGTGGCAATCACAGATTACTTTTGGCACATAATTACATGGTTGAGATGACAGGACACTGTAAGGCAATCGCTCTCTCACACAGTTGATTTACAGTACTCTTGACCATGCTGCCATTACGGCCGTTCACTCACAGCTATTTGTATCATTGGCCACAGCGACGATCCCCATTGGCTGTTGTGGAATATCAGCTCTTAACACCTTCATGTCTCCACCAACATATTTGTCGGCTCTGAGGACGGCTCTGCGCACCCAGTCTGTCCAGAAGATGTGGTCACCGTACACAGCCAAACCGAAAGGATGCACTGGCTCATTCTTCAAAACCACCTACAGACGCCAAAACAGACAGAAAGGAACCATTTGGTTTGTTGAAATGTTAAAATTTAAAAAGTTCTCTACCATTTTGATTTTTCCATTTGAGAATAAATGAACTACTTCTGAATGTTTTGGCTGGAATTATGCAGTAGTTGGGGAAAACACCTATTTAGGGCCCTGCCAATCAGAATATGTGTGATGTTTATATGATGTGACAAAAATGCCACTAAAATGCCTCTAAATTCAAGATGGCCCTGCACAATTAAACTAAAACTATTACAGCTATTCGCCCTAATTCACCCAAAAATGAAAATTAAGCCATCATTTACTGAAAATTATTATTATTGCTGTACAGCTATGTTTTTGGACTAGTGAGATTTCACTAAGCTATTAAAATGCAATGAAATGTCTTACTGCACCTCATGATTGCAGCTGGTCTGGACGCATTGGGATTTGACTTGTTGTAGTCACGGTGTAAGTTAAGCAAAATGGACACTCATGGGTGCAAGTTCAGACTTACATAACGGTGGGAGCCGTCATACTCGCAGCGCTCAATCTTATCAAGCGTAGCGTCCGAGAAATAGAGCTTCTCGGCACGATGGTCAATGGCGAGTCCATTGGGAGTGCGGACGTCACTGCCGATGATCACCAGGACATTGGCTCCGGACAGCTGGGCGCGCATGATACTGGGCGACTGCTCATTCCAGTTGGTCCAAAACATCAAGCTGGGGAAAAGCAGAGGAATGTGAGTCGATGGCAAACATTGAGTGTGATATGATATCAGTAGTGGCATCCTGAAAGCAACATGACATCCCTTCCAAAAGGGAACAGTTAGTGAATGTGAATATTACACTGTTTTGAATGTTGAAATAATGAGTTTGTTGTGAAATGAAAAGCTCACTTCTGACATTCATCCAGGACGAACGCCCGTGGGTGGTCATCTCCTGACATGGTGACTACAGAGTCCCGGTCGAAAGCCCCCCAGTGGCTCTGGTCCACACTGTGACGGGTGATGGTGGATGTGGTGTAACTGGTCCAGAATAAAGTGTCCCAGGCCCGATGATACGCCAACCCCTCCACTGACCCAACATCTGCAGACAGAAACATATGGGGAAAACATGGTTTAAAAAAAAAAAGATTTTAGAAATTCTAAACAAAATTTTCATGGAATTTGTCACAGGCCGTTGAGCTGCTCGGTTGGTCTGCTTGGTCAGTATTGAGATTGTGACTTTGGAAACATATATTTACACATTTTAGAGTGAGAGAGAGAGAGAGACATAATAAAAAAATCCAAAATTTAATTATATTAGAATTCTAGGAAAACTTTATTTTGTTTATTACAAAGCCTTAATCTGGCTGTTAACAAAGTTTTTTGTTTTTCTTTCTTCCCTTTACACTAAAGATTATAAAATAAAATCAAAAGATTTTCCATTATAAATGTATTACTGTTTTAAACTTTTGAAGGAAATATCCTTTAAATTGAATTAATATTTCTTATTCATTTTAGTCAGTTTTACTCTGTCTCAAACAGCACTAAATATTAGTCAACAGCATTTATGTTGACGGAAAACTGCAAAATGAAACTAAATATTCACATATTTTAGATAATGTTTATATAATTTAAGCATGTAGGCCTATCAACAAAAACCATGAAGACTGCTTTTGTTGTGGAAACCTTCTCTTCTGAAATACAAATACTACTACAGTATGTGTGCAAACAATACTGTCAATTCTTTATGCTTTAGTTATTTATTGCACGTGTTTAATGTGTTGTTACAAGAATAGCGCATTCACAATGTGACTTCACATTCAGTCTAGCAAGTTGTAATATCAGTGCTGCATATACATCTGATTAATCTCAAATATCATTGGTTCTCATGTGTCTTGGTGATGCACAAATTAGAAAAAAGCATAATAAATCATATGGACTATGACTTGATTTTAAAGGGGTCCTATTATGCTCTTTTACAAAGTCTTGGTTTTGTTTTGGAGGTGTACTAGAACAGGCTCTCATACTAGGTTGTTCGAGAAACACATTATTTTTCACATATTTTACATTATTACAACACCTCTCTCCTCAGTCTGGCATGAACGGTTCGAATAGTTCCTGAATCAAATGAAGGCCCGCCTTCTGAAATACGAAATGTGCTGGGATTGGTTAGCTGGGCCAGTGTGTGCTGTGATTGGTTAGCTGGGCCAGTGTGTGCTGTGATTGGTTAGCTGGGCCAGTGTGTGCTGTGATTGGTTAGCTGGGCCAGTGTGTGCTGTGATTGGTTAGCTGGGCCAGTGTGTGCTGTGATTGGTTAGCTGGGCCAGTGTGTGCTGTGATTGGTTAGCTGGGCCAGTGTGTGCTGTGATTGGTTAGCTGGGCCAGTGTGTGCTGTGATTGGTTAGCTGGGCCAGTGTGTGCTGTGATTGGTTAGCTGGGCCAGTGTGTGTTGTGACTGGTTAGCTGGGTCAGTGTGTGCTGTGACTGGTTAGCTGGGTGTGGGCCAGTGTGTGTTGTGATTGGCAGCACTCAGCGCCTGGTCGGGAAATGTCATGCCCCTCACCATAGCCGCCTGTGAGCGTCAGTGTAAATATTGCGTCAATATATAATCAATTTGAGCGCGATTTAAACCAGGATGATTGTAACCACTCTAAGTTCATCTGCCTTGGGAAAGCTAGCGTGTCTCCGACATAGTGATAACACTCGTTGCCTTCTCTAGTGCAGCTCAACCAGGCCTCGTCCCATTCGTCGATCTTTGTGATATCACAAATCCCGGAAAATATGCGTTGTAGTCCAAACGAGTCATTCGTTGTAGTTTTTGAAAAGTGATTTCTGTTAAATAAAATATCTCCTTTTGAAGTGGACTTTGAGCTTTGTAACATTGCAGATCTTTTTTATGCTCAAACAGCAACATTACAGACTAACTAAAGTTGAAAAAGCATAATAGGACCCCTTTAAAAAAATGGCTTGCGTACTTCACATCTGTACCATTCCTTGATTATAGAGAAATAATAATAATAATAACTCCTGATATCCTGATATACATCCACTGCCATTTTGGTTTATTAAATAATAAATATCTATCTATTAACTATATAAATAAAACAAAATTGCAGTTTAGATTTATTAAATAATAATAATTAAAATGTCTATTTATTAGTTATATTAATACAATTTATATTAGTAAAACAGTAAAAAAAGGTTAATGATAAAATAATTCATTTTTGTTTATTAAATAATAATAAATATTGAATTATTATTTTTATAGAGGTAATATTGTTAATAAATAATCATTCAATTACAATTTTGGTTTATTAAATTCATACATAAGACATTTTTTTATTAAAGTTTATATATACCCCACCATTTAAAAATCTGGGGTCAAAGTTGTTTTTTTTGTAGAGATTAATACTTTTATGGACTTTTTTTTTTTAAATAGACATTTAAAAATCTATTTCAAATAAATGCTGTTCTTTTGAACTTTCAATTCATCAAAGGATCTTGAAAAAAAATAAATCAGTTTCCACTAAAATATGAAGCAGCACAACTGTTTTCAACATTGCTAATAAACAGAAATGTTTCATGGGCAGCAAATCATGATCATCACGAACCTGTTTGTGTGTCAGCAGCCTGTCGTGGTGCAGCGGCAGCAGGTTTAAAGGCAGAATCGGCTGGTTTCTTCCTCACCACCAGAGACCCCAGAGCTCCCTTCCCACCCAGACCTCCGACACTCCTCTCCCAGCTCTCCACCTTCTGTTTCTTAACGCCCACAGATGATGATCCCTGTGGAGATCAGGAGGAAACCAGCGTATACATTAATGAGAGAAACAGACGGGGCGTTTGATGAATAGAAAGACAACAGAAAAACACATGTAAGCTAAAAGAACAATTGATTTTTGCACAGTCAACAATCCTTGTGAGTGTTTATTTTGCAGCAATGCCTGGCTGAATATTATCCTGGTTAATATTTATTGTGATAAATAAACAAATGGATATGAAATACTGATTTGAGCTGAAATTATTATGCGAGAAGATAGAGTGTGGAGTGATATGAGAAACAAGAAACTAGCACAGCTACGTAGGAAATTATCTGCCTGAGAGCAACTATGACGAAAATACTTGATTGCAGCATGTCGCAACTGACCAATCACAGTGGAATATCCAGAAGCATGTATTAATAAAAATCTAAGGTAATATCTAAGACTTTTTCCAAATCATAATTAATAAAAGTGACCAAAATAAAATGTAAAAAATGTGTCAATGTCAAATAAAACAAGTTAGATTTGAATCTAATGAGGTGGAGGCTGCTGTCTTTCTCTCCACCTGTGGTCCTGTGTCCCTGTCTGTGGTGAGGATGTCTGTGGGTTTATCAGCCGTGTGTTTCCTGCTTTGGTCTTTTGCATCTTCGGTCTCTTCTTCAGAGTCCGAGTCCCTCAGTCGTTTGACCAGAGCTCTCTCCAACATCTCTCTATGAGGAGCAAGAGAAAAGGGAAGTCTAAACCACCCTATATTATATAATCCATGCTTTTTATCTTGACATTACATGCTACTTGTGAATGCACAAGGTGTAATTATTGTCACATGTGAGTGTACATGGTAAGCAATATGGACACAATTATGCCTTTCAAACATCAACATATTTGCTTAAATTCATATGAATAGCTACATTTTGTACATGAACCATATTTTAAATGCAGTAATCCAGGGCTGCACAATTTCAGGGAAAAATCGGATTGATTTTTATGTTAAAAACCGCGATTTAAATAAAAAAACAGGTTTGCTTTGCTTGTTTGTCGGGCCGCACAATTTAGTCAATAATTGATATGGCTATAAAATAATAATAATATTATTACTACTAAATAAAAATATAAAAAATGACTAAAAACAAAACATTATAGTAATATTACTATTGTAAAATGCACTGCAAAATAAAACAAAATATATTTTTTACATTAAAACTTTAAAATTACAATCCTAATATAATATTTATGACTTGCTTTATTTTTAATTCTCAAGAATTTCATTTTCAAACATTAAACCATTAAACTTTTAGCAGAAGTTGCACTAAGCTATATCGCAATTTCATTTTTATATTGATTAATCATGCAGCCCCACTGTAATCCTTGTCATTTAAGTTTTTCTCCCATTTTAAATAACCTTTTTGTGCGCTTAAATGAATCTGTAGTGTGACAAATGCATTTTTAAAAAGCTCAAATATTCCAACATACAGTGTATGAAGCAAAAAGGCCAAAAGCTTCCAAAAGTTCAAAGGTTTCTTACTTGGTCTCTCGTTCGTCTTCCTCCTGCTCTCTCTCTCTCTGTCTCCGCTCCATCTCTTTATACTGGTCCAGCATGCCCTCAAAGTCCACCTGTGCCTGCCTCTGGTTCAGCTCCTTCAGCTCCTGCAGGTTCTCCAGCACCTCCATCTCCAACTTTGAGTCTCGTGTGCGGTTCTCCAGGACCTGTGACAGCATTCAGGGAGTTATGTTTTAAGTTTGCATGGGCTTTTGTTTGCTTCCTTACAAAGATGCTGTAAAGACTTTATGTATTAAATGTGAAAAACATTTATAAAAAATAAAATAAAAATAAAGCTTTTGTCAAAAATAAAACAAAAAAACAAACTCTTGAAAACGGAAAAAAATAATCACAAATAGCAAAACTATATAAATCCCTAACAAAACTTCTAATATCATAAAACACACATGTAGTCTTTAAAGTTTCTATCAGACCTTCATGGGGTTATTGAGTTCCTCTTCCTCTCGGTCTTGTTGGATCTTTTTCTCCTCCTCTTCAATCAGTTTCTCAGCCTGAAAATTTCTTGTTGCACCATGTTCCATGGCGTAATCTGTGCTCTCTGGATCTGTCTGTGAAACACAGCAATCAGATGAAGTGCAACTAAACAAACACACAAGACTAACAATAAAAACTCCTTAAGTGTTTGTGTGCTGGTTTTAAAGAGTATGATGTGCGTGTTTATTCTAGTACCTTGAAAGTGATCTCAGCCAAGCATCTGGTGCATTTAATGTAGAATCTGAAAATGGGAAGCCCCAGGTACAGTTCGTTCTGAACGGTCTCCTTACGGGCATTGAACTTCTTCCCTTTGTAAATGTACTCTCCACACGTTTTACACCTGTGTACCAACAAGCATTATTGTCTCAAAGACGATATAACGTGACGTGAAGTTTATTTAACTTGACTTTGGAAACATATATTTACACATTTTAGAGTGAGAGAGAGAGAGAGACATAATAAAAAAATCCCAAATTTAATTATATTAGAATTCTAGGAAAACTTTATTTTGTTTATTACAAAGCCTTAATCTGGCTGTTAACAAAGTTTTTTGTTTTTCTTTCTTCCCTTTACACTAAAGATTATAAAATAAAATCAAAAGATTTTCCATTATAAATGTATTACTGTTTTAAACTTTTGAAGGAAATATCCTTTAAATTGAATTAATATTTCTTATTCATTTTAGTCAGTTTTACTCTGTCTCAAACAGCACTAAATATTAGTCAACAGCATTTATGTTGACGGAAAACTGCAAAATGAAACTAAATATTCACATATTTTAGATAATGTTTATATAATTTAAGCATGTAGGCCTATCAACAAAAACCATGAAGACTGCTTTTGTTGTGGAAACCTTCTCTTCTGAAATACAAATACTACTACAGTATGTGTGCAAACAATACTGTCAATTCTTTATGCTTTAGTTATTTATTGCACGTGTTTAATGTGTTGTTACAAGAATAGCGCATTCACAATGTGACTTCACATTCAGTCTAGCAAGTTGTAATATCAGTGCTGCATATACATCTGATTAATCTCAAATATCATTGGTTCTCATGTGTCTTGGTGATGCACAAATTAGAAAAAAGCATAATAAATCATATGGACTATGACTTGATTTTAAAGGGGTCCTATTATGCTCTTTTACAAAGTCTTGGTTTTGTTTTGGAGGTGTACTAGAACAGGCTCTCATACTAGGTTGTTCGAGAAACACATTATTTTTCACATATTTTACATTATTACAACACCTCTCTCCTCAGTCTGGCATGAACGGTTCGAATAGTTCCTGAATCAAATGAAGGCCCGCCTTCTGAAATACGAAATGTGCTGGGATTGGTTAGCTGCTCAATGCTCAAACAAAAACATTACAGACTAACTTCAGTTGAAAAAGTGAAAAAGCATAATAGGACCCCTTTAATGCACTAATTAAGGCAATATTTGTGTCAGTTTTGGTGATCAGCAGTCACCTTCTTTCCCTGTAAGCAAAAGAGCAGCATGGACATTCTTTAGAATTTCTATTTTCATGTTTCACAGAAGAAAGTCAGTCAAACAGGGTTAAAACAACATTGGGGTGAGTATATGGTGACAGATTTAATTTGGGGGTGAACTATCCCTTTAACAAATAAAAATAACAAAAACAGAGCGCAACTATGATGAAGTAATGATAAAAAAATATAAAATGCCAAACACTATAACTGTAATAAATAAATCAGCTGTTTTTAAAATAAATCAGCTATTCTGCACCATGTTTACATGCAATATCCAAATACGCTTTTTAGTCATGAGTCAATTATATCTGGCCAAAACAACCCTGAAAAACTGGGGGGGAAATGAAAGCAAATGATTCATTGTTTGTTTGTTCATTCATTACTGATGACGGTTCAAAGACAGATGTGTAAGATGTAAGAACTGAAATGTTTTGTTTTTTTAAATCGCTAGATTTACGCCTGGCTTGAATTACATAACCGGTTCATAACCAGTGTAATAAAAACCACATGGTAAGAAAACAAAAAAGCATTTAACATATAAAAAAGCCAAAAAGAATACATATAGTAAATGACGGAAAGAGCTTTACTGCAAAAATAAATAAAAAGCCCACCTTTACAGAAAAAATATGTTGGCAAGTAGATCATTTGTCTTATAAATTTGCTGGATTAACTAGTAAATAAATACTGCATGATTACATTTCGGGGTCTTCCATACGTTATATCTAAACAAACTATTAACTGAATGTATAAATTTGCTACTTAAAAGTAAAAACAAATGGATAATACAGTATATTTGTACAGGGCAGTATCTATAAAATCTACAAAAACCAAACACTATTGTTCAAAACCACATTATTTCTGCCTAAAATAAGAGTAAATCAAACGAAAGGATGTATAGCGAATCTGGTTTTGATTGTTGTTTCAGACAGACCAACTTTTTCACTTCAGCACAAGGAAGCCAACATTCTCTCAGGAGGCATTTTGGTCGAGAGTTTGCAATTATCATAATTATCCTTCATTCATATGGTGTTTGTGGCAACAGAAGAATAAACAGATACGCACATCTTTCTTTGCTCAGTGCTCCTGCTGTGAGAGCCAAATGTCTTATGAAAGAATGAGTTTATTGTGCTCTCACAAAGGAGCTGGCCGTGACTTCAGACTTCCCAGTCCGGTTTGATTGTGTGTCCGCTGGCTTTGCACTGTTTTCTCTCCAGCTGTGAGCTGGTGATGGAGAGTTGGTGCTGCAATCAAACCTCTACAAAACACTACTCCATATTCAAACACATGGACTTGTTTTGGGGACTGCAAAATAACTATACATAAACTCTATGACAGACTCTACCATCTTTTTTTTTCAACAATCTGAGATATCGTTGATGTCTGTACCACAAACAGTGTGCATAAAATGCTAAATTTTAATTCCTATTAAGATACTATAACAGTTTTTAATTAATATTATGTATATAATAGGGCTGTCAGTTTAACGCATTTACTTAAAGGGGTCCATATGATGCCATTTCAAATTTTCCTTTCTCTTTGGAGTGTTACAAGCTCTTGGTGCATAAAGAAGATCTGTAAAGTTGCAAAGACTAAAGTCTCAAATCACCTTTAATTAATTAGTTATGAAAAAATAACGTGAATAAAATATTTTAACGCAGTTAACGCACTGGCCCCGCCCCCAGACCTGTACGTCATCTTACATTTCATACAGTAAGACTATAGAATACACATATTAACAGTATATGTGTTAACAGATTTGAACTATACTTATGAAATTCATCTATTGTAAATATATTACTTTTTTACCAGGGATATTTTGAATTAATTTATATTTTCCGTTATCATTTTTATTTTTGTTAAAATTCTAAGAATTCTGTTGTGTGTTTTTGTCTTTTTTATTATTTGTCTATATTGTATTTATTAATTTTATGTCAGTTTTAGTTTCAGTTATTTTAGTACATCAAGTCTACATCTAGCCGAGAGAAAAGAAACAAAAAGGATTAGAGAAAATAATAGAGAATTAAGGTAGAAAGACATAATTATTTGAAACTCACTCTCGACCACGGTCTTCCGGTCTGACCCGTCGTCATTCATCTGCTGAATATTTCCAAAGTGGATGTCGCTGTAGAAGATCCGATTGGCTCCTTTTCCGCCGCCTCCGCGGTAATCGAACGTTAGCGCGATGACGTTCTTCATGTGGTCGGGATCTTCAAACGGTTTGATGGGAGCGTTGAGGTTGTATTCGTCTGATAAGTGCACGCTCTTTAGTATCGTGCGTTCTGAATACAGCAGGTATCCGTCGTAGTCACGGCAACTCTGACCGTCCTCGGCTAACATTCCGTGAGCGCATGCACACGTTCGCTGTCCGTTACCACGGTAAAGACACAGCTGCTGGCAGCCGCCGTTGTTGTTCTTGCAGATATTAGTTCCTGCAGAGAGATTGGTTTGAAAGATTTAAGAAATACTGCAACCAAGACAAATCTGAATCGAGTTCATAAATTCAATGCTGTTGGCATTAGCATGAAAGCAATATGCAAAGTTTGTGACTCAGTTAATCAATCAAGAAAATATCAACATGTTGACTATTTTATTTAAAACTGTTGTTTTGAACAGTAAAGAAAAGGAGAAAAATAAAATCTGAATATAAATAGTTTAAATTTTGTTATTATTATATATTCATATAATAATAATATATTATAAGATAATATATACAGTATATGTTAAAATTATATATTATTATAAAGTTTTTAAAATACTATTAAGTAGTGAAGCAGAGAAGTACAGTAACAATAAAACATTACCAGTGCCATTTTAAAAATAAAACAAACCAGTGCTATTTTAGTATCTTTGAGAATTTTTGATTGAGATTAAGAGGTTTTTATATATTTATTTTTAGTTATAAATTTTGAATTCGTTTTTATTTTTGTATTTTCCATTTTAAATTTGGTTAAAGTTTTAGTAATATTTTGTTATTTTTTATGTCTAGATATTTTTATAAATTTTTTATATAAGTATTAATTTTAGTTATTTTAGTACATCAAGTTAAACAAAATTAAAATGAAGTAGCTAAAGTACAATGAGTTTAAGATGTATGTATTATATGTATGTATTATATTATTCAGTTAATCAAAATAAATACATACATATAGCCTACATACACACATACACACACACACACACACACACATATATATATATATATA